TTTTCATTTTTTCATTTTTCTATACTCTGTTTTAATGGTTAAATTAAATTGTATTAATCAAAAAGCCTGTCTAATTAATTGAGTTTTACAGTTTTATCTTTACCAAATTCTGTTTTCCATTATTTTCTGGATTCCATTAAATTTTAATAATCAAAAGCATCTCCAATTAATTGATTTTTATTTTTTTAAAAAAAGCTTGCTTGCCTGCGAGCTTCAGTGTAAATATTGCATCAAAATCAAATCAATTTGAGCGCTATTTAAACCCGGATGATTGTAACCACTCTAAGTTTGTCTGACTTGGGAAAGCTAGCGTGTCTCCGACATAGTGATAACACTCGTTGCATTCTCTAGTGCAGCTCAACCAGGTCTCCTCCCATTCGTCGATATTTGTGATATCACAAATCCCGGAAAATATGCGTTGTAGTCCAAACGAGTCGTTCGTTGTAGTTTTTGAAAAGATTTCTGTTGAATAAAATATCTCCTTTTGAAGTAGACTTTGAACTTTGTAACTTTGCAGATATTTTTTATTTTCAAACAGCAACATTACAGACTAACTAAAGTTGAAAAAGCATAATAATTTAATTATTATTTAATTTAAATAAAATGCTTCTCGATCCAGTTCTGTAGTTTTTGAAAAGATTTCTGTTGAATAAAATATCTCCTTTTGAAGTAGACTTTGAACTTTGTAACTTTGCAGATATTTTTTATTTTCAAACAGCAACATTACAGACTAACTAAAGTTGAAAAAGAGAAAAAGCATAATAATTTAATTATTATTTAATTTAAATAAAATGCTTCTTGATCCAGTTCAGAATGTTTGCTTTGGCCTTTGTTGATATCTGCAAGTCTTCATGAATTATCAGTGAGCCCATGACTGCCATATTGAAACAACCACCTCAAACAATTGTGTGTGTGGTTGCAGGCTTGGAACAGGAGAGTTACTGTGACTCATCTCTGTCTTACATAAACACACACTCACAAGACACTGAGCCTGAAGCCCCTCAATGCTCTAGTGGGAGATGCTGCTATCCTGAATCTTCTGAACTTCAAATTAAAGAAATAGAATTAGGCCTAGTTATTTTTAAGTAGGCTATAGGGCAGCACGATATTGGAAAAAACTCACATTGCGATATTTTGTTTTTCTGCGATTATATATTGTTATATGAAAAAAAAATCACCAGATGACTTGAATAGCTCTATTTGAAAAATAAATAGCAAACACAAGCATAGGTAAATGTATTAGAACAAAGATACAAATGAAATAAACTGTGCTTTATATTTTTCAGGTAAGTATTAACAGTATTCAGGTACAGAAATTTAATAATCAAATGTAAAATAACACTGCATAGTAGGGATGCACGATATTGGATTTTGCCGATGTCCGATATGCCAATATTTTTCAACTGATTTTGGCCGATGCCGATATTTTAGACAGTGTAGACAGACTTTAGCTGTTGCGGCATGGGACGGTGCGACATGACGGCTTTCGCGTCCAGTGTAGATACGATGTCTGTGTGAGCAAAGAAATCGATCAGTATAAATATAACGATCAGTAAACATCACACATCCTGCGATGTGACTATCGCGGATGCGCACATCGTGATATCGATGCTGAAACGATATATCGTGCAGCCCTACTATACACATCAATCCATCCTATCTATCTGTCTGTCTGTCTTCCTTCCTTCCTTCCATTATTATATGATATGGATATTTATCATGAAATGCCTTCCACCTGTTTGTTAGACCTTGAGAATGAATGTAAACAGAACTTGTTTCTTCACAAATAAACTCCACAGAAGAGCTACTTTATTAATTTAGCGTCTCATGATTTGATCCATTTTTTTATTTCAGATTTATCATCAAAATTGCTGTCTAATGAAAATAATAACGCCTAAACAATTTTGAAAGATTGATTAATGATTTAATCTTTTAAATTGTAATCAAATGGAAATATAACAATTTACAACAAAACCAAAACAAAATTTTTTTGTCATAAGATGCTGAAGAACTGTACTAATTAAAACATGAATAAAAAATATATATCTTAGCTGTGTGATATTCCTTACAAATAATAATATTAATATTATTATTAATTTGAGAAGTACTTTTTAACATCCAATAGCAATATTTCTGTAAATTATGTATTTTTTATGGATTATTGTGAAGATCTTTGAGTTTCTGTATGTATTTGACTGTAGCTTTTCTGAAATGAAACTTTTTAAATCTGCTGAAGTGACTTTCGGAGCACCTCTGGAGATGAAGTGTGTGTGTTCATGTCTCGTTGCGATACAGATTCTGAAACCCCATAAGTGTCCGATATTCATATCGGGTATCGGCTCCAATAGTGCCATTTTTCTTGGATCGGGTATTGGTCAGTGATTGTGCGAATTATTCTGTTACTTCTGAAGCCATACAATAGTTAATATGAGCTACATATGAATATTTAAGTCCTTACATTAAAGTTCACACAAACTCTTTTCTCCGCTGTGGCTGTCAGTCATTCGTTCAGCCTTTAAACCCTGGTGGCATTCGGCTACGACACTCAGTTCGGTAAAGCTCTCCGAGATCATTCTGTGTTCACATTATACTTGATTTGTAAATACATATGTTTTTAATGAATGGATTTTATAACACAAATAGCAATGTGTAACCATATTTAGTGCAACACTTTTATTTAGGGCTGCACGATAAATCGCATGCGATATTTAATGCGCATCTTGTCAGAAAGCCGGTTCTGTAATCAGCGGTAAATCTTCATCACGTGCGTGCTTTCACATTGAGCAGCATTAACTACACAGAGCTTCTGCGCAAAAAATCGTTCGGCCAATACCGAACCCTAGGTATCGGAATCGGAGGCGAAAAAGGCAGATCGGAGCATCCCTACTTATTAGCCACATATGCACTAGCTGGCTGTCATCATATTTATTTCTGCTGTTTGATTGCATTATATAGGCTGTTAGTTGAAACTAAACAGAGTAAAAATGTCTTGAGCTTATTTCTTACAAATTTGCATATTATGCACAGTATGCATGCTAAATATACTAAACAAATATTAGTATGGTAGTATGCTATTCCAAACATAACCACTGTCTGTGTTACATGTGATATGCCACATTTTTAAGGATTTTTGTGGGACACCATTCTGAACGTCCCTCAAGCGCTAACTTCCCCCATGTCTGCTGGAATGCTCTCCAACCCGTCGGCTTGGTTTCTTTGCACAAGTTAGTGAGACGATGCCATGGGGGCAGACGGCCAGAGGATCAGGTTCTGCTACTATTGTCCCGCCTGAGTTTCACTGTGTATGAAATTTTGAAAGCTCTTCAGATGGGTTTGGAGCTCTGAGGGACTTTGGAGTGTTTTATTTCAGAAGAGTCTGGAACTATCACATGACGAGCTCTTGAACTTTGACCGCTGTTAGAGGCGTGGATGCTGTCAGACTGTGTGGAGTGGACAGAACGGCACTGTTTTGATTTTACACAAGCGACGAGGATCCAGCCATGTTATTGAGCTGCTAAAGAGAGCATGACCGCATGTTCTTCTGCTAAGCGCCTGAAAGAAAAATCTCAAGACCACAGCCATGGACCCGCTGGTGGATATCGCACCATAAATCCTGATTTTCCTACGCTTCAGGTAACAAGACTTTTCCAAAAAGAGGGATCGGCAGGCTTTTAAAGGAATGACGAAGTAAAAGTGGGAAAAATGCTTGAAATGTGAATTGTATCTAGCAGGATGTTTTTATATGGGTGTGTTGAGGCCTGAACTATCTTTACTCATCATTTCTCTCTATGTGTTTTACAATTCACTCATCTGGTTAACAGCCGTTTAATATAGGTTTGAGGCTAGTTATTTAAAGGGGTCATATGATGCGATTTCAATTTTTCCTTTCTCTTTGAAGCGTTACAAGCTCTTGGTGCATAGCGATTAAAGGTGCCGTATGTAAGTTTTTGACTCTACTAAAGCATAAAAATACCATATGTTTGCAGATATTTAAGAAACATGCTAAGTTAACATACTTGTTTATCTGAAAAACAATGCTACAGTCAGTTATTCTCCTTTGAAAATGTGCGTTCCGGGCAGGAATGTCGGTCTCTGTTTTGGTTTGTAAAACCCGCCCACTGCCAGTTTAGCCAATTGTATTTCGGCATCCCGGGTTGCCAGTTGGAGGAAAACAGAACACATTTCATTTCATTCATCGTCAATTGCGCTCGTTTCTGTTGGCGTCGTCAATCTGGCAATCTGCATGTGCGTCAAGTCTGAGGAGGAGGGCCCGGGTGAAAAAAGCCCTCTCCGATATTTTGAATTTGGACTGCAATACCTAGTTCAACCACTTGGTATTAATCCTACATACAGCACCTTTAATATCAATAATTTGTGTTTGTTTGACCAAGGCCAGAACAGTTATGGCATGCAGATTTTATTTTATTTTTTTATGATTTATATTAATGATTTAATAATAGTTTTTATTTCTCACTCTTATTTTATTCTATTACTTTCTTATTTTATAATTTAATTTGACTGTTTTATTATTTATACTTTGTTTTATTTTATTCAAATTTTTAAATTTAATTTGTTTATTTAATTTTATTTATTTTAATTATTTTTTTATTTTATTTTATTATTATTTTAGTTCATTTTAATTTTATTTTATTTTAGCTCCATGAAATTATTTTCCTTTCCTCTGTTGATGTATTTCCTGTTCCAACAGGAAGTTTCTGCAGGACACATTTTTAAAGGGTTTGTTCTTCCAAAAGGGGCTCATCCTTCTCACCCTAATCCGTAGTCATGGGAAATCTGGCAATACCATGGAAGTTAAAAAATTACATGCTTGAGAAACTCATGAAATTGAATAAAATGTCAAAAAGCATTTTATTGGGCAAAATGTTGTGTATAGTCCACAATATTATGTTCAAATGTATATTTATGCAAAGTTTATGGATTGATGTTTCGGAAAGTCTTTGTCATGTTTGGTCAGAATGTTTTGTTGGATTAAGGGGCATCATTATGCATGTTTTTCTAGTTCCTCAGAGTTTATGGTTTATCAGGTGGTTTGCTCCATTTTTCCAGACTCCATTCGGTTGGACTTATTTCACGAAGTCCCAATGACCGAGAGCATTTCATATTCTGTGTTTGCCTGGTTTCTTTCTAGAGCTCAAAGTCCACAAGAATCACAGCAGACCTTTTGAACCCACAGCTTATTTTTGTCATTTAAGTGCAGCTTTGGCAGCTGGAGAGCTGATGAGGAGTGACACAACTGGAATCAGTCAGCAGATATCTGTGTTTTGATTAATAGTATGTCTGATATTAATAGCCCTGAATTTCATGTCGTAATGAGTTGTCGACTATTGTTTTATTATCATTGACAGTGCTGTATATTATATTATGTAATATTACAAAGGCTGTCAGGGTTTGATGAGATGTGTGCCATGGCTATTATAGTTAACTAAAAAAAATATATAAAAAAAGAGAGAGAAATGAAATTACGGAATTTAGTGCATTACTAAAGTGATTTGTTTAAGGTAAGGTTGTTTGAAGTACACTACCAATTAAAAGTTTCAAGCTAGGACATTTTTAATGCGTCTATAAAAAGTATCTTGTGTTCTCCAAGGCTGCAATTAATTAAGATATATTAAAATGTATTTAAAAAGAAAGATTCAGTGAACTGGCCTTGATATGCTGATATATATATATATGTGTATTTGAATTTATAAATTCAAACTCACCTTGATATGTACTATAGTAATAATTAGTAAATTATTCCTGTGATGGCAAAGCTGAATTTTCAGCAGTCATTACTCCAGTCTTCAGCTACTTTTGATTAATTTAATCTGTTCTTTTTGAGAAAAAAAAGTATTAATTTCAATCAAAAAACAAAAATTGTTTGTTTTCAACTAATATTGTTCACAACTTCTTACGCTATAGAAAACAAGAAGTTGTGACTCTGCTACAGCGATTTTTAAATAATAATAATAATTCCTTACATTTATATAGCGCTTTTCTGGGCACTCAATGTAGTGTAATGTGTACTAAATGTAGAAACTTTAAAGTGAAGTAATAATGAATGAATGTTTAGGGGAGTGTGTTTGGAATTCAGTCAGAGGTTTGAACTCTGGCAGATGGATTAGGAAAAACGATTGGCGGATGACATCAGTCTGCATCTGTGATGATGACAAGAACATGCATGTGTAAATCATTACATCAGCGCTCTCAGAGTCTTTGTCTGTTCTAATGAAGGCGTTGTGGATGGACTGGCCTGGTGTCCCCCTTAAATGAATGCAGGTCTGTCAATGTCGTGTCCGTTTCCAGATGCATATAGCGCTTCTATATCTGACCGCAGCATCTGACGCTGTCAATATAAAAATACTCCTTCCGCCTTCTCTGCTGTGGGAGCGTCTCCTCATGTGGATTCAATAAATGTAACTAATCTTGAGTCACGATTTCATTATTTGGATCATTGTGGTTACTGCTAGGAATGAGGCAATTCAATTTAAGGGCTGCATATGAGGAACAAGGCCCCTATTGATTTAGACTGGGATTATCCTAGGTTATTTTGTTAGTCTTCACCTTTTCAGATGATGTTTGTTTTGGTGAGACTGAAAGCTGCTTTAACTGTGCTGCTGATTCAGATGTATCAAGGACAGCTTGTGAAAAGATGCTCAGTAGATTCAAAGAGTTTTATGGAGGCATGCAGATCTGCGATTGTGAGATGGATACACTGTGTGCAGAGATGTCTCTTTTTCACTGTTTTTTTCTTTCTGGCATGCAGGTGTCCGCAAATACACCCAGTATGTATTCTCAGGAACTGTTTCAGCTGTCCCAGTACCTGCAGGTATGGAGCAACACTGACCTCTACTGGCCACGTAAAGACATTAAGAGTCCAAATTCAAAGATTTTGCAAGTTGAGATATGTCTATTCAGTGAACCATATTATGGTCTATAATTATAAATTACATAATAATAATGATGATAATTATTATCATTAGTCAAATAAATGCAGGATTAATTATATTATTTAAAATGTATTTACTATATATTATGTAGTGTATGTAATATGATGTATTATATACTGTATATAATAATATATGTATTATAACATGTATGTAATATATATTGCATTTTATAGTGTATATATAATTCAGTATATTACTGTCTCAAAAGTCTCTAAAATTCTGCATTTATTTGATGAAATATACAGGAAAAACTGTCAAATTTTGATATAATATTACAATTTAAAATAGCTGTTTTATATTTGAATCTATCTTAAAATATTAATTATTCCTGTGACGCAAGGCTGAATTTTCAGGGGCCATTACTTCAGTGATTCTTCAGAAATCATTCTAATATGCTGATTTTATTTATTTATTTAATCATTAATTCGTTTTTTGTGGAAAAAAATCTTAATAGATTGATTAATAGAACAGCATTTTTAAAAATAGATATTTATGTAACAATATTATAGACTTTACTGACACTGTTACTCAATTTAATACGTCCTTGCTGATCAAAAGTTTACTTTTGTTTAAAATATATCTTTTGAATAGAATACATATTAGAAATCTGATAATGTTGGTGTGTTTGTGTCCTTCAGGAGGCCTTACACAGAGAGCAGATGCTGGAGCAGAAGTTGGCCACTTTACAGAGGCTGCTTGCCAGCACACAGGAAGCATCAGAGAGCAGCTGGCAGGTACATCACACATCGCAATTAAAGAGAGACTATTATTAATTATTCAATACAGATGGCTGTTTATAGGCATGTTTAGTAGTGCTCAGAATATGTTACAATTATGATTGTTTGTTCCACTATACTACTGCTTTTGTCATGATAACAGAGTCTGTTTGTGTCTTTAAGGCTTTAATCGATGAAGACCGGTTACTCTCTAGATTGGAGGTGATGGGGAATCAGTTGCAAGCATATTCAAAAGTAAGGCCTATGTATGCTTTGAGTATTTGGATGTGTGCTCACAGAATATAGTTTCTGCTTCACCAAAGCATGTTGTTTCCTCAGAACCAAACAGAAGATGGTATCCGAAAGGAGCTTGTAGCCTTAACAGAGGACAAACACAATTATGAGACGACAGCCAAAGAGTCCCTGAGGCGGGTCCTTCAGGAGAAAATTGAGGTGGTGAGGAAGCTGTCCGAGGTGGAGGTAAAAACACAACAAAATGGTTTATTAATTCCTAAATGAAAGGGCTATTATAAAAGAGCTATATTTTTATATATACAGTGGGTACGGAAAGTATTCAGACCCCCTTACATTTAAATGTCAACAATTCTGTGTTTTTCTGTCAGTATGGGGTGCTGTGTGTACATTAATGAGGAAAAAAAATCAACTTAAATGATTTTAGCAAATGGCTGCAATATAACAAAGAGTGAAAAATTTAAGGGGGTCTGAATACTTTCCGTACCCACTGTATATATATGCATGCTGCATTTACCTAATTAAACGTACAGAAACAAAACCGTAATATTCTGAAATATTGTTAGTTTAAAAAAGCTGTTTTGCTATTTGAATATATTTTAATATCAAATTTATTCCTGTGATGCAATGCTGAATTTTCAGCATTATTACTCCAGTCGTCAGTGTCACGTGATCCTTCAGAAATCATTCTAATATGCTGATTTTGCTGCTCAAGAAAAAGCAATATGCAACTTGCAGTCTATGCATATAGATTTTACCCTGGTAAAGGAGGATTTAGATGTAAAGCATCATAGCCAGTTATATCCATTGCATGTTTTCTGTTGTGTTTGTTTCAATTGATCTGTTATTGTATTGCAGAGGAGTTTGAGTAACACCGAGGACGAGTGCACACACCTGAGAGAGATGAACGAACGCACACAGGAGGAGCTCAGAGAACTCGCCAACAAATACAATGGCGCTGTCAATGAAATCAAGGATCTCACCGAAAAGATCAAGGCATGTCTGACCTTCACCCACTGACACGCCCAAAATTAATATTTTCTGAAAATGTGCTCATCCTCAGGCCATTCAAGATGAGATTTGTTTCTTCATCAGATTTGGAGAAATGTAGCATTACATCTCTTGCTCACCAATGGATCCTCTGCAGGGAATGGGTGCCGTCAGAATGAGAGTCTAAACAGCTGATAAAAACATCACAATAATCCACAAGTAATCCACACCACTCCAGTCCATCAGTTAACGTCTTGTGAAGCCAAAAGCTGTGTGTTTGTAAGAAACAAATCCATCTGGGATCTGGCTAAAATATGAGTCCATAATGGAAAAAGTGGTCTGGTCTGAATCAGGAGAGAATTCTCTCTCCTTTTTTTTTGGAGTTTGTGGATTTTGATGTGAAACGACAACAGGAGATGGACTGGAGTGGTGTGGATTACTTGTGAATCATTGTGATGTTTTTATCAGCTGTTCGGACTCTCATTCTGACTGCACCCATTCACTGCAGAGGATCCATTGGTGAGCAAGTGATGGGATGCTAGGGTTTCATTTCTCTAAATCTGAAACAAACTCACCTACATAATGGATGGCCTGAGTTTGAGTAAACTTTTAGAAAATTTGAATATTTGTGCTAACTATTCCTTTACATTTCTTAATGTTTATGTTCAGTTGGCAGAGGGCAAACATGAGGAGCTCACTCAGAAAGGCCTGAATGAGAAAAAAGAGCTACAGCTGAAGATCGAAGAGATGGAGGAGAAAGAACAGGTGCTTCAAGCTCAAATCGAAGCTCTGCAGGCGGACAATGACTTCACGAATGAGAGACTAACAGCCCTGCAAGGTAAAACACACAAGCATGCTATATTTCTCTCAGTTGAGAACGGTGGACTCCCTTATCACGGTAACTAAATAGACGAAACAGGTTGAGGAGGAGCATCTGTCAGTATAGAGCTCTTATTTTTGGTCATCCCAAATCTTCTCGTTGTCGTTTTCCAGTCCGGTTAGAACAGCTGCAGGAGAAAAGCATAAAGGAAAACAACAGTTTAGGTGAGTTGGAGACGCATGCGTCTGCTAGTGTGCTGCTAACCATGCATCGCCTCCTTGACTAATTCAGCATGGGAGCTCGCCTTTGGTTGCCTTTTTTTCATTTTTCGTTCTGTCCCTCTTTCTTTCTGTCTGTCCGGCTTTGCTTCCGTTCTGTCTCGAAGGCCTTGAACTTTTGCATTGAGCATGTGTGTTCATTTTTAATAGGGCAGCCAGATTGGAAACTATAGAAGATTACAGGGCTGCACGATTTGGGGGATAATGTAATTGTGATTTTTCTGATAAAAAAATAATGTGATTGCGATATGAAATTATTTATTTATTTTAGTTTCTGGTTTTATGTGCTTGTTTGTAGGGCTTCACAGTTTGCCAAAAAAAAATATGATTCTAAAATAATATAAATAAAAATCAATATAAAACAATAAGATAATAATTTTAATATTCATAATCATAAGTTAATGTTATTACTACTGCTACTAAATAAAACAAAATTAGAAATATTGCTATCATAATGATATTCCACTGTAAATAAAAAAAAATTATGAATTAAAAAAGAATAATACAACAGTTAACCAAATAAATGCTGTGATTTTATTCAAAATTACAATACTAATATTTATGCCATTTTTTATTTATTTTCCAAGTGATAAGATTAAGATTATTTTGAAGATTTTTTTTTACAGACTTCAAAATTACAATACTAATATTTATGCCATTTTTTATTTATTTTCCAAGTGATAAGATTAAGATTATTTTGAAGATTTTATTTAGAAGATCCCCTGACAGATTCAGTATTTCTAAAACATTTTAAATGGAATAATTTACAAAAACATTGCAATTTAATTTTTACATTTTCTATTAATTATTTTTATTTTTTTCTTTCTGTAATGAGTTTCAGGTTTACTGTGCTTGTTTGTAGGAATGCAAAATTTGGCCATGAAATTGTAATTATATACCAATATGTATAAAATAATAAGAATAATAATCAGTTATTATTATTGTTGTTGTTGTTTGTAGTAGTAGTACAAAATTAGAAGTATTACTATTGTAATAATACTGTTTCGCTGTAAATAAAAAAGTATTCAAGAAAAGTAATGTAACCATAATTTTATTTTACAGTATAACTATAAAATTACATTGCTAATATTTATAGCTGTCTCAATTTCTTTGATTTTAAACGTTAAAATGAGAAAGCTTTAATTTTGAGGATTTTATTTGGAAGATTCCCAGCCAAATTCAGTATTTCTGAAACTTGAAAGAGGAGGAATAATCTGCTAAAGCATGACCCTTGATTTTTTTAGTACCAGACCTCCATGTCGCAGTGTCTGTCCCTGAGATGACAGGTGAATGACAGGTGTCAGTCAGTCTCTTCAGGGCAGTGAGGTGTCTCCGTCTGTGTCCTTGTCCTGCCCTCTGCATCTCTGTTTGGTTGCGTCTCATGTTGTATCCTGTAGATCTGGCTTTTGTTTTAATATCATCTGATGCCCCTCGATGTGGGATTTCTTCCATTTGCTGTTCATTTAATGGAGGGTTTTTCTTTCTTTGGTAGACCACTTTCTTTTAAAGAGTGGAGGAGACTGCACTTTAATCCAACAGTACATTGAGTGTCAATGTGAGTACACCGCATTCTTTCCAACGTCTTCCTCAGCCGTACTAATGAACCATCTTATGAGCACCAAAGCAGGTTTACTCTGTAAAGTGAATTAGGTGTTTACAGGGACATTTAAGCTTAAGAACCTTAAGCACCGCCCTGCATCATATTTGCTCAATATGCTTCTTTCTTACTAATCTTGAGGTGCTGATTTTAAAAATAGTGCCTGTTTTAATCAAGCACATCGCAGTTTTTCACAAAATTTGTAGAATTTTTATTTTTGAGAAGCATTAGTAAGGTGAAGTTGTCTTGTATTGTCCCTTAATCAGCAGAAAAACACCATAAAGACATGATCCCTGTCTTCCTCTGAGCCAGATTACAAATACTTGTTCAATTCTCAGCCAGTTTTCACATGTATTATTAATTCTGCAGATGTTATTTTATTTCTAATGCTGGTTTCCACTTGTCCACTCTTTTGTGTATTAAAATGGCATGTTTTGAATACTTTTTTTCATTAAAACTTTTGACATTTGACTGCTTTTGTTATTTTGATAAATGGATAATTTCAAATGAATTAGAAAATCTTGATTGCTATTTGAATGTGATGTTTTTTATTGATATTTTTGAACTCAGCATCATCAAATTAGGTCACAGTAGGCCTTTTTTTGGTTTGTTTCAAAATGCAGGGCTATATATTTTTATTTTTTTGCATTTGCAATGAATTTAAAGTCTTTTGTCCTTTGGTGATACTTAGGGGTGTGCGATATGACAATTTTTGATTGTGGTTGATTAAAATGTCTCCCAAGATTTGCTTTTGAAGAAATATCGTAGCATCGTATTACAGCGCACATTCTATCAGTTGCAGTTCTGGTGCCTCCCTCTCTAATCTACATACTGTACAATGCCACATGCATTCACATCAGTGTTAACTCAGCGGTAGAGTTACACTCACGGGACACTGCACTTATTCACAATCACAAAAGTACATTATTTTTATGTGCTTTAAAGCCTTGCCGGTTAAATGTTTCATTCACGTGCTGTTCTGACGTGTGCTTTTTCTGAGCGTGTACACCCGAAGCGCGCGCACTAAAAAGCCTGTCAAACAGCGCCTGATTACTGGACTAAGTTATATTTTGCGCTAATACTGTCAAAACACACAAGGTTTACATATAGACTCAGTTGGTTATGTCTAAAATGAAAGTAAACAGTTACTTTCCGAAAAATGGATACGTCCCTGTATATTTGACGCGTACAGCTCTTAAAGGGACAGTACTGAACATGCAGCTGACTGTCATTAAAGGGATAGTTCACCCTAAAATAAATTTCTGTCATTATTTACTCTTAACATGTTGTCCCAAACCTGCATTAATTTCTTTCTTGTGGTGAACAGAAAAGAAGATATTTGATAGTAGGGGGAAAAAAATACTATGGAAGACGCAACTGTTTGGTTTTACACATTCTTCAAAATAACATTTATGTTCAGCAGAGAAAAGAAACTCATTCAGGTTTAAAACAACTTTCGAGTAAATGATGGTATAAAAAATATTTTTGGGTGAATTATTCCCTTTAATGTTTATAAAACAACAAAACACAAAGAGAAAAATCACTTACTACACTTGACTGAAAAACTTTAATACAGTTGCTTTAATAGGAATCAATTATTATATTATTATTATATAATAATTATATTTATTCATTCAATTTCTTGAATGCTCCTGCTAAATAAACCTATTGTACCTGAAAATTAAACCTTGTTTTATTTGTATATTATGTGTAGTTGTAATGTGTATTTTTGTTCACATTTTTTAATAACAAAGATAAAATAATGACACAGATTTATTATTTTTTTTGGCCCACTTTGGCTTAAATATCTGCCATTCTTTTTTTATATTTTGTTAGCTTGAAAGGCTTTGTCTTTATAATAGGGAAATTAAATTTGGCTGTAATGCTCAGACAACTTGCAAAATAGTAAAACCAACATGACAAAGAATCATGATAAAATCGTGATATTTCTAAAAAAAAGTTAAAAACTAATAATAATCGTGATACGATATTTTTGCCATATCGCGCACCCCTAGTGATACTAGAGAATTTTTTTCCATATGCGGTTCGTTAAATATTATCTTAGTCAATCTTGTTTTTAGAGCATGCTAGTGGTTCCTAAATCTTTCTGTGGTGTTGTACATTCAACAAGCAATTCACTGTGAACAAATTACTCTTATGAACTGGTTCTTTTTCATTCAGAAAGATTTACAAATCGGTGTTAAATTCAAAAGTGGGTTTGAATCTGACTCTGTAAATTATTCAGAACCATTATAGAGTTCAAAAATCATTTTAAACCAAGAAACATTCATTATTAAATATAATTTTTTCATTAGGACCAGCATTGATTTTTCAGACTCATTGATTGTTCAGATGACATCTTATTAAAAATGTATATTCACAACAGACGTGCATAATAAAATAATAAATTGTTTAAAAAAATTAATCCAAGTACTTTCACAGAAATATTATTGGGTGTTGTCTAGCATAGTGAAGCCCAGTCGAATAGACTGTCCTTTTAATAGGAAGAAATATGCAGTCATCTTTATCAAGTGATTTTGTCATTTGGAGGCTAAAATGTGTTTTGGTGTTGACTGTATTTAAGCGCCTCGTTCCAGATCTGGTGAAATGCTGGCTTATTTTCTGACTTTCATTCAGCTTGTAATGATTAAAACATTGTTTGGCGTATGCTTTGGTTTGTACTTCAGCTAAAGTTAGTTCTAGTTGGATCTCCTTAAGCAATTTTGGAAAGTTATATTGCTGTTTTTTTGTTTTAAGTCATAAAGTTCAACACACCATGCTATATGTGAATACATCACACTATATTGCAGAACAGAGAGGCTCTCAGGATCTGTTGTATAATCTGAAATCTGTATGTGGAGATCAGATCATAAGCTTTCCCTGAGAAAGTGAATATCCTTCTCCAAACTCGACATGGATTCTTAACGAAACACCCTTGCATGCCGTCTGTTCTCACTTCACCTCCAGCTGATGGATTTTCTCTATTCCCGGGGATTTTCACTCTCACCAGCATGCGTTCTGAAGTCTATGAGCTTCCACTGATGCTTTTCATGTTTCATTTTTTGCTTTGTTCTGTATGTATGGAAAAAACTACAAATGCAGTTTTGCTGCTGCTGATACTGTATTCATTTGGGCTGCATCAGTGTCATATAATGACTGAGATTTGATATTTAATGCTAAATATTTAATAGATGCACCAGGTGAGCAAGAAGACAGATATACTGAAATGCTTTTTCTCTTTTTTTTAACCAGCGGTGAGGCAGCTGAAGGAAGCGGTGGACTCATCCATTAACAAGCTGTCTAACTTTGACGGTAAGATAACATATTGTGTTTTTATCGATTTATTGGGAAAGACACTAAGGCCGTTTTCACACTTTTGAGGTTCATTTGAGGTGAACCATTCATGGACTCAAGAATGGAGCAGAGACCTGACATGTTTTCCTGTTTTATTTCACAGAAGTCATTGATGCACATCTCCAGAATAACCAGACGACAGTGGACAACAGCTTGGCCAGTCCAGACAGGCTTAAAGGTATCATCACATTTCTGTCACTTTCATCAACGTTTAATCAAATCTGATTCTTTGTAGATTAAGCTCGGTTATAGGGAACATCACACTGGTATGATGCAATCTGATGGCAATGGAGGCACATGGTTTCACCCTGACCTCTATTTAAAACCAAATTAAACAACTGCGCTCTCTGGGTGGCAGGAATGAGCATTATGGTTATTTTTAGCATCATCAAAGAGCATGACCAGGTCAGGGTCATACTGTAATGAGCTCTAATAAGATCATCATCATCTGTGGAGTTTTAGCTAACTGTCTATTATTATTATTATTATTATTATTATTATTATTAAAATAAGAGTAGGTATACTACTTGTTGTGAATTTAATTTACATTTAAAAGGTTAAATCAGTTGTATCTATTTATAATAATAATAGATAAAAACCAAATCATTTGTTGTAACTTTTTCGTTTCTGCTATATAATGTTTAAAATCATTGATCTTAATAAATCGTCATCATAACAGGTCAAAAAGAAAAAAAATACAAATTAGCTGTTTGTTGTAACAATTTGTTTACACATTAAAATGTTTAAATCTATTTTGCATAATAATAAACGGCAACTGTTTTTTAAAAAATATATATTTAAATATATTCAGCCTAATAATAATGTGTGATTTTAAAACTACAGTAAGATTTAACTTCTACTGTTAATAAGATTTTGGTAGGCTACTATTAGATGGATAGCCTAAATGTCCTAATTCAGATGGGCTACCTGTTTTTTTTTTTTTTAATGGTATATCAAAAAGTGTATTTTTTTAAAATGTGATTATTAGTAAATTTGACCAGTTTTACCATATTTTCAAAACAAAAATTAAAATAGGAAAAATATGCAATATGAAAATAATTGAAGACAAAATGTGTTTTACTGAGAAAAAACAAGATTTGGTTTTCAAAAAGCCTTTTTCCAAAAGGTACATCTGGAAAAAGGGGGGTCGTCTTATAATCAGGGTCGTCTTATATTCGGGCTAATACGGTAATAGATAAAAATAACAAAAGCTATTTGTTGTAACTTTTTCATTTACATTTAAAAATGTTTAAATCTATTCTATGTAATAATAATTGGTAGGGATGCACCGATACCACTTTTTCCAGTACTCGCCCGATACCGATACTTTTATTTTTGGTACTTGCCGATACCGAGTATCAATACCGATATTTTTATTGCATTTGTAAATTTTTTAAATATTGGGTACAGAAACCAAAAGAGTATGTATAATGTTAGTTGGTTAACTTTATTTATCAAATAGATAGTCAAACCGAAATTTATTCAGACACCTTCAACATTTCTCCCATTATGACAGTTTATTCGCTATAGTTTAGAAAATGGTAATAAAATATAACAAGAACTCAGAGTTAAACGGAGTCAGAACAAATTCAGCTTGATAATGTTAGATAACTCTGATAGAAATGGATTATGTATGTTATGGGTTACAATCAGCCAAAAATTAGATGGCTGTTAATCTCACAGTATTTACACAACTATCAATACTTAGTCGGGCAACCCTTAGCCTCAATGACAGCCTGTAGTCTCCTGGGCATGCTGTCACCCAGCTTCATGCAAACCTCAACTTCAATTTTTTTTGTCTGAATAATTTTTGGTCCCAAATTTGTATCAGTTTTACTGGTAGTCCACTGTATGAAGAGTTTTTGGGTATGATTTGTCACAGTTTACTTTATTTTGCTATCCTCACTTACATACATTAACTATAGTGTCCTGCACCCACTAGTAAAAAAATATCAAAAATTATATCTGGTTTGACTGTATATCCTTCTGTTATTTTCACACTTAATTATGCCCATTAAAATGTATTTTACAAGTTTTTGTTACTTTCACTGTTCATTGTTTTGCTCTATGATACATCATCTTTAATTTAATAGCATTAGAGCTGCTCCATTGCAGCGGCTTAGTACTTTAATCACGCGCTTTGCTGTATTAATGCAGGGAACCGCTCGTTATAAATCTCCTAACTGATATTTTCAGAAATAGAAGTCGCGTTTTTTCATCTGAAACGTGCTGCGATTGGTCTTATTTTTACGATTTAGTTTTAATCCAAATGATGCGTGTGCTAACTACGTATCCGATCGAACTACAAACTTTCCAGTGATGTCTGTGAGAAAGGTATATTCACTCGACAAGCTCGCGCATCTGCGCTGCCTCGCGCTCAATCCACTCAGTGCGCTTTGCTTATCAACTCGCGCACATCAGCTATACAGGCGTTAATACTGAATGTTTAACAATATAATGTATTATATACATATATACATTGCATACATATACTTCGTAGACATCCTTAATCTCTAATAACTCCATTCTGCTGTCTGTTGTTCTGTTGTGGGTGTTTCTTTGTCTGAATATGGCACTTATCACATGCTGTGTGGTATCGGCGTTTGGTATCGGGGCATTTTAACGAGTACAGGAGCTCAGTATCGGGCCCGATACCGGTGCATCCCTAATAATTGGTAAAAGAAAAAGTTACCTATTTGTTGTACTTTTTAAATTTACATTTTAGAATTTTGCACCATTCTGCCTAATAATAATAATAATAAAGTTTAAAACATATTTATTGTAAACTTTTTTTTGTTTACAATTTTAAATCTTCCGGCTCATTGAGCCTAATAATAATAACAATAATAATAATAGGTTTAAAACAAACTATTTGGAGTACATTTTTCATTTACTTTTAAAAACTTTTAAATCCTTTCTGCCTAAAAATAATAATGATGATAATAGATAAAAATAACAAAAGCTATTTGTTGTAACTTTTTCGTTTACATTTTTAAATGTTTAAATACTATAATCAGTCCAGGAAAAAATTTGTATATTCACTCTGGACCAGGTTATAACCTTATGAAAGCTTATGAATGAGGTGGCATTTAGACCTTGACCCCGTCCTCTTTGTGCTGTTCTTGTGTGTCTGACCCCTCACAGCTGCTGGGGCGTCTGACCTTGACCCCTCAATTCTCTTCAGATTAGAGTCTGAGATTATGGCCACACAGATTAGACCATAATTCACCGGTCAACCGTTACCTATGACGACATAATTTCGTTTTTATCCATTCAGTCCCACTGAGTCACTGTTTGTTCGCTTCACTGTGCTTATTCATGGAACACTGAGTTCAGAAGATCTATCATGTGATGTAACTGCAGGATGGGTGGTTTTTCAGGTCATATATTGATTTAAATGTGCAACGTTTGGCCTGATGTCTGAGAGTAATGGAAATATCTAGACAGCATTGACTGATAGTGAAAAATAATAATGATGATAAAAATAACAAAAGCTATTTGTTGTAACTTTTTCGTTTACATTTTTAAATGTTTAAATACTATAATCAGTCCAGGAAAAAATTTGTATATTCACTCTGGACCAGGTTATAACCTTATGAAAGCTTATGAATGAGGTGGCATTTAGACCTTGACCCCGTCCTCTTTGTGCTGTTCTTGTGTGTCTGACCCCTCACAGCTGCTGGGGCGTCTGACCTTGACCCCTCAATTCTCTTCAGATTAGAGTCTGAGATTATGGCCACACAGATTAGACCATAATTCACCGGTCAACCGTTACCTATGACGACATAATTTCGTTTTTATCCATTCAGTCCCACTGAGTCACTGTTTGTTCGCTTCACTGTGCTTATTCATGGAACACTGAGTTCAGAAGATCTATCATGTGATGTAACTGCAGGATGGGTGGTTTTTCAGGTCATATATTGATTTAAATGTGCAACGTTTGGCCTGATGTCTGAGAGTAATGGAAATATCTAGACAGCATTGACTGATAGTGATTTTTTGATTGACATCTACAGCTTTCATACTGAAAATTTGAGGTGCCATTCATTCATATCCGATGATGCATGAACATGTTGCCAGGAGTTTTCTTTAGACCGGCGTCACCTCTTCCTGTTCAAACCACATTTATAACTCTTTTTAGTCCACATGGATACTACAGCAGCGCAAAACTAAATCTGCAACTAGTTTAGCATGTGACTGTATGTCCCATTGGAAGCCCAGGTCACTCAAATGACCATGTGTGGGCAATAACTACCACCAGCCAGAGAGGATGAACTACAGGGGGGCTCATTCACTGCCTGCTATTGTAGATCAAGAGTAATTGTGATTAATATATAAACAGCCATCAAACACACTCCTGTTTGGATATAGATACTGAAGCAGAGAGCCTGGTAAAGGTTGTTATCGCTGTATAGTTATGCTTATTTTAATGTTGTTTTGAGTTATGATTCTGTCCCCCCTCTCATCTAAGTGGTCTCTTCCGCTCTGCCTCTATAGAAAACCAAATAGACGCTAAAGAGTGCGATATGTCAGATACTCTGAGCCCCAGCAAGGACAAAAGCAGTGACGACACATCAGGTACGTGAAACATGGACACACTTGTAATTTTTTGCTGTGTTTTGGTTACTACAGCTTTCATTGATACATCCCACTTTTTCCCCCAGATATAATAAGTATTATATGAAAAACCTATAGTCACTGTTCATTTTTCTAATTAATCTGATTCAAGCTCATATTTTCACACTAGTTTTTCCTCATGTTTTTCAGATTCTTTTTTTTTTTTTTAGCAATTAGGCAAGTTCTCATTGAACAAAAATGTTTTTCAGACTCGCCTGGCGTTTGGTTTAATTCAGTCTAAGTGGGCTGTCGTGATTGCATCGAGCACATGTCCTTTAATGGGACGTCAGATAAGGAGCGCTGGCTCGGATCAGGGAGGAAGTGCCAGTTTCAGCACCTCATTGTTCGAGGGCACACTTGATGAAGTGTAGGATGTGCCAGGCAGACTCAGAGGCGGCCAAGACCAGAGGGATGTGTGCTGCTGGAGCTTTTCTCTACCTTCTTGATTAAAGAAGGTTTATTCTAGCATGCATGTGTTTCCAGCTGAAGATAATGAGGAGAAATCTGGATAGAAACACCAGTAGAACTAACAATGTTACTGTTTTTGGGGGGAAAAAAACTCTTTCTGGTGCAAAAACGGTACTAAGCTCATAAGTGGATTGTAGGTGTAGTGCACCTCAAGATCAAGTTGCTGAATTCTCAATGTACAGTGATATATATATAAATAGTTATCTACAAAGTTATCTTTGGAAGATTATGGAAAACATTGATTGGGCGTAAAGTGCTTTAATTTTGCATAAAATTGGGTGCCAAGCCAAAACAATACAACCAAGAAAAGTTAACTCGTTTTTCATCCCATTAAATCAGTGGTTCTCAACCTTTTTGACTTTTTGGGGGGGAAAAATAGATATTTATGCTACTACTTCTTTAAGCTGCTTTTTTCCCATTTAATATTATTATTCCCCAAATAAATAGTAAAATTATATTGAAATCAAAATAATTACATTTCTGATTTCAGAACATTCAAGAATTGAATGTTCTTCAAGGTTCAATAATGACTTTATATGGCTTATATTTTTTTTTAATGATTTTTAACCCACAAATAGTAATTCTATTCAAAAATAGTAATTTCTACTAGAGGTGCCAAAGTGCGTGTTCAGTGCGCGGTCAGAGCTGTTTGCGAGAGTCACGAGCAAACCATTGACGTTTCTATGGTAACGTACAGCTCCTGCACTCAGATTCGTAGCTTTGTGGTAATGGCGAAAAGAAAGATTTTTGAACAGCAGAAAAAGTGTAAAAGTATGTAAAAAAAATGACAGGACTGAAACATATACTTTGTTTTATATGTTTTACATATAACATTTCACCGGTTACTTTAACTTTTTCCGCGCAGCTCTCAGCGGGTGGGACTGTTAGCGTTATTAATAAAGGAACGTGAATGAATGGGACAAAAAAGAGCGGGACATTCTTGATATTAAAAAGACAGACAGTATTAAAAACTCAAAGCCGTGAAACAGAACTCAATCCGCTTCTGACTGGATGTTTTCTGCGCGCGAGGTCTGAGTGGAACACGGACAAGCAATAGTAGATTTGTCTTCGGTGGCACACCTAAAACGGTAAAAACACGGAGTGTCAAAATGCCTGCACTGGTGTGTATTCACATAAATACAGTCGGCACCGTGCATTATTTTTCTCTTGCACGCGCAGAGAGAGAACTGAAGAGAATTCACCCCTCTCAGGTTGTAAATCAACCTCACAGTAAAAGCCCTGCTAAATTTTTGACGATTTGTTGCATATTTGTGTATTTTAGTTTCCATGGTCCTAATAAAGTTACTATTATTAAAACGTTATTGAAAACACACACACACACATTTATTATTATTATTATCATTATTATTATTATTTTTTTTTACTTTGGCTCTTTCGGGAAAAAAAAAAAAAAAAGGCTTCCCGACCCCTGTCCTAGACTCAGCGTTGCGCTTTTATTTTGATTAGAAAATCATCAAGTGTTTAAGAATAGTTAAAGTGTGAGAGTATACATACAATATCCATATGTATATAATTTTAATGCTATGGCCTTTGTATATATATTTAAAGATGTGCATCTTTAAGCATGACTGTTGAAATGAAATGGTAACACTTTAAAATAAGAGTCCATTTGTAACATTAAGATTAATGAAAGCTGTGTAATGAAAGCATTGTTCCTTGGTAGAGTGTGTTAATTTCAACATTTTTATTATTACTACTACTACTACTAGTATGGTTCAGTACTGTTTTTTTAATAAAGCATTATTTTAGTTTTTGTTCAGTATCCATTTTAAAAACTATCGGTTAATTAACCTATATCGGCCAGTGTGGTTCAACCTAGCTATCGGTATCGGCAAAATCCACTATTGGTCGACCTCTAATTTCTACTCAATAATATATTAATATTTTAATGATTTTTTTTTTTTAGAGCTTGACATAAGAAATTTGTATTCATTCTAGAAATGTACATGAATTTTTTGAATTTTTAAATAATTTTCATGACTTTTCAAAGTCTAAAAGTCTTTTAAAATTCATTATTTTTATCCAAAGTTTTCCCAAGACCGCGAGGGTTCTGGCTCTTAACATTTTGGTGGTTTTGTTGTGTTTTTATTTATAAATATTTCTATAAAAAAAATTGTATACATTTTTTTTTCCAGCTTTAAATTATTTTAACACCATCAAGGTTGTTTTTTTTGTTAACTCTAATAACCCTGGAATGAAATATGATGACAGTTTTCATCTCGACTTTTAGCTGTTTTTGTATTATACATGTATTCATGTATAATTTTCTGACCCCCTTAAAAATGTGTTTAAGCCCCGTAGTGGGTCACGACCCCCTGGTTGAGAACAACACTGGTCCCATGTGTTTGTGAGGCAGATATCTTAATTGTTCAGTTTATAATTGTCATTCGGAATTCTGCTGTATTTGTCTTGGATCATAAGACATTTGCGTTTGTTTTTGCATAATGATTTGGTTTCTCCAGAAAGCTGTGGTAAAATGTGCCACTAGGAGGTACTGTTGAATTGGTCTTTCACCCCTAGATTGCATCTACACCGAGGCGTCTGGCATGAGTTATTCAATTGCCTTAATGATGAGTTATCTGAACACATGTAACCTTATATGGCTGTGATACTCGATCTCAGCCATAAAATCCTTTTGAGACGCTCTTGATGAAATCACCGATAAAAGGAGCAGAATGAGATTACACACCACTTCATGCCCCCTCTCATTAAATAAATGGCAGAACTTCAGAAACACCGCTAAGTAGACGAGTTCGTTACATCATTTTGCCTGAAAGCAGCTCTCTCGCCCACAGTAAACACCCTTTGTCTGACATCATGACAGATTACCAGCCCTTAAATTAGCTCATGATTTTACCGACATCTGTAGAGTGTTCAGAGAGGGGGACATTCATCAGTTTATGGTCAGAGGAGGTTTCCCAAAAGCCTGTTGTTACAAGACCACATGAGAGACCAACTGGATGCTCCTCAGAGAGACTGCAAATGTGCGCTTGCTCGGCATGAAGTCTTATGAGGGAACGCAGGAGACTGTCTAATGTCTCTTTTGCTTGGCCTGGTGCAGGTCATCTCAACGGCCCATTTGTAGATCTTGCATTAGAGCCGTCTGAGCGTGTGCTGGACTTACGTAATCAGGCTTCAAGTTGTGTCCCGTAGTCTAAAGTCAATGTATTTTGGATATTCTATTGTTCGATGCAAGCAGGGTTGTGCATGTTGTGCATTTGCACTCAAGTTTTTCACTGACGCACTGAGCAAACAGAAATACATCATTCTTCACATAATGAACTGATTCTGAGCAAGCATCTTGATTTTGGTTTGCGGTAATCGTGTTTCAGTCCTTGATGTTTCTGCCCATGGGGTCGACCAGGATGCGTCGTTTGTGGCGCCAAAGGTTCTGACCCATCGTGATGGATTGGTCTCACACTCACAGTGGCGGCTTTGGGCTTTTAGGAGAAGCATTTTTAGCACAGATATGTTATTTTATATGTCTGCAGTCCGTTTATTAGGAACTGCAGCATTTTACATTTACATCCCTGTGCAAAAGTCCCCTGGCTTTCGGAGAGCCAGAAATGCAATATTTGTATAAAGCAATTAAATAATAACCTAAAAGTCACTAGATGTGGGTCCAACTACATATGAGATTGTGAAATTGATCACAACAACAGTTTTGATATTCAAATGTATCTATACAGTGAATGGTACAAAAACTAATACATTTTTTGGGGGTGTTTTCTGAGCAATTTCATCATTATTGTCTCATTGATTTAACACTGACTATTTTTAAATGAAGTGGTATTAAAATCACTACATTATAATTAAAAATATGCTTTTACATACATTTACAGTATTTAAATGCTCAAATAGTTAAATTGTGTTGAATTGTGTTTTCAAAACTTTCGCAAGTATTCAGAAGTTCCTCTTACTATATCACAAAATTGTAGTGAAATTTTGAAAACTCTAAATGCACAGTTTTACAACATTTTATAAATCATAGCTCAATGCAAATTGTCCCTAACTAAATACTTAAAAAAACTTTTCTTTTTTTTTTACATTTAACTAAAACTAAATGTATTTGTAACTAATGGATAATTGTGAAAAAATATTGTTGCAATTATTCTAGTTATAAAACAATTTAAAATGTAGCCTAGTCATTTTTAAATTATTGATTTAATTTTGTTTAATTAAGTTGTATTAAAATTACTTCAAAATATGCTTTGATAAGTTTATTACATTTAAATTTAAATACATTTTTATCAAAAAATAATTTTGCAACCCTAAATGCCCAGAGTTAGTTTCACAATGTTTTTCCAAATTATACCCCGGGGCAAATTTTGCCTGAACTGAAACCTGAACTAATGGCTTCCTGAAGACATGTGAAAAGGTGTGAAAATTTTTTTGATCCTCAATATCAATGCTTGGGTCTCTGAGGGATAGAATCATTAAGAAAAGTTCAAGGATTTCGTAACAAGCTGCATGATTTGAGGCATCATTCATGTTCGGGCAGGATGAGTTATTAATGCAATACTGAGGGTGTGGGGTTTCACTCGTCAGTTTATCTCTCTTGATGTCTTTTTTTTTTTTTTTTACAGCCATGTTTTTTCTTCATGCTCCCTCACTGCAGCATCTGCTCTGTGTGTGTTTGTAGAAATGGACAGGAATCTGGAAGCTGGAGACACTGAGCAGGTCATTCCACACCTCCACCGAGAGCTGCAGGAGGCCCAGGAGCTCGCCAACACTGGCAAACAGAAATGCCTCGAGCTGCAAGGTACGGCAGCGTACTAAACGCTCCTTCAGTAGTGATTCGGCATTAATAATCGAGGGTCATGACTGCACTGGCATTAGTGTGAATCGCTGAATGTCTTTTTCTCATCAGCACTGCTGGAGGAAGAGAGAAGAACCAACAGACAGCAGACTGAAGAATCTGCTAAACAGATCCGCTTCTTACAGAGTGAGTCATTCAACACTTACATGAAGTGGGCTTTAGTGTTTTGACTTTAATCTTCAAAAAGACTTCTAAATATAATCATCAGTATGGGTTGATCAACCAAAATTATTTTTTTAAATAATCAATTGATTACATTTATTTAATCAACACTAAAATAAAAACTGAGTTGCATATAAACATTTAAATTAGGGCTGCCCCCTAATAGTCGACTAATCATTAGTCGACCAGAAGAGGCTTGGTCGACCAAAATTTTATTAGTCACTTAGTGGCAAAAAAACCCACTGGCGAAGTCACACAGTTCGATCGACTGATCGTAAACGGCTATAATACAGTACATCAGGCAGGACATCCAAACACTCGCCTATCATTCATCGACCTCAAATATGGCTTATCATCTGAAATATGTAAGTATTAGCAACTTTACATGGCTGCTCAATCTAATGTTAACAGAGAAATGTGCGCTGTTCAAGTGTCTGTGTGGAGTGTGGAAGCTGAACAGTAGCTCACTGCAGGACAGGTGGCGGTGCCGGTGCGCTCACTTGATGTTAAAATACTCCCTCATGTTTGGTCATACAGATAAGAGTAAAGCATCTTTAAAATCGGTGAAGACTCTACGTTTATTTGTGTGCACAAATAATGAAAGCAAACAGGATGCGCTTTCTGCCGTCTAGGTCTATGTGAACTTGAGCGCGAAACTGTGTATCTTTGCCTTACAGACAATAAGTGAAAGTGAAATATAATAGATAATATATAATAGAGAGTGAAATGTCTACTTTCAAATGAACCAATTCAAATGGAAAACAAATATTCTCAGATTATGTAATCCATATGAAACATGCATACAGGCGCATCCACTACTGTGGAGATGACGAGTCAGTGTCGCAGACTTCATCTCTTAAACCGAAAACAAAGAAAGCACTAGTTTATCAAATTATTAAAATGTTAATGCAGTCTCCTTACTGTTTTTCACTGACACATTCATAATAATTTCTTCTGCCGGTGCGCTGTGGCAGCTTTGTGTGTGTGCTTGAGCGCTTATTAGGCTATGTAGGCGATTAAAGGCTCATTATTATGATTTCAATGGTTTATTAATAAACGTGCAATTAGTCGACTAATGTTTAAAATGAACGTCTACTAGTCGACCAGAAAAATCCTTAGTTGAGGGCAGCCCTAATTTCAATTGTACACAAGGCAGTTTTTATATCAACTTTTTAATTATATAATTAAGTTTCTGCTCCAATTCGTTGTTGAAATATCATTTAAACTGTGGCTGTAATTAAACACTGTTTTTATGACAAATTTATTCAAACATAGATTAATAATGAAGTAAAATTATAATTAATATTTATGGAAGTGTATATATTTTTGAAAATGTTCTTCTCTACAGTTATTTTTTTTCTATCTGACTAATGAGTTTATAAAAATTGAATGGCTTCCTGAGATAAATGTTTTATTGACATCTTTATGTGGTTGAAACACTTTAAGTGATTACATGAGACATGATGTTAAGTCATACAGTTTTATTCAGCATACCTTCTGATGTTCATTCATGTTTACTTTTTTGCTGTAACTAGTAGTAATGAGGAAGAGATGATCGGTTCAGGTGCCGCTTGAACTAAGGTGCTACAGTGGTCTGTTACGACACATGAAGAAGCATCAAAACAACATTTATTGTTTGAATTTTGTTATAAAAATTACAATTTGAACATTCAGTCTTTGTTTCATATCAAAAGCTCAAAGCTTATTGCAATTATTGGATTCCAGACACACTACAAGTAATGTTTACTGAACTGAAAACAGCATAGACTAAAAAAATCTCTGTTCTTGATTAGGGCTGAGACAATAAATCGATGCATCGCGAATAGAGAAATGATTCTGCATCGATTCTGAGATTTTCCGAAGGCATCGCAATTCTCTCTCGAATCGATTCTGAGCTTAGTTTTTAACAGTAGATGGCACTGCGTGCTTTAGAAATAGCCGAATTCTGCTTGCTTCCAGTTCCTTATACACGCACCATTTGAACCTAAAATAATCATTCATAGAGTTTGAAAAGGTTAAAGCGATAAACTAGGTTAGTGGATAATTTGGCAGCAAAAGTTTTTCTAGAAAAATCAGTGCACAATCATTTTAGAAATCCAAATATTTAGTGGAAAAAAAATATTTTTTTAATAGAAATTTGGAAGAAAAATTGATGCGTAGTGTATTATATCTGTGCAACAATTATTGAGCCTTTCTTTTAACCGTTTTAAATTTCAGTTACTGTGCACGTTAAAAACAATTTATAGTCTTTTCTACGCCCGTGTTTTGTTCTCACAGACACCCGGTAGCAAGTAACAAAACAACACTAAACTCCGGGAAGAAGATAAAATCCTTTTTGCAAAATCATAGACATGTCAAGTATAATGGGAAAACAGAATGATCTTGGAGAGAGCTCTACCGAACTGAGTGTCGTAACTGAACGCAACCAGGGTTTTGGTTGAACGAATGACTGACAGCCACAGCGGAGAAAAGAGTTTGTGTGAACTTTAATTAGAAATAGCCGAATTCTGCTTGCTTCCAGTTCCTTATACACGCACCATTTGAACCTAAAATAATCATTCATAGAGTTTGAAAAGGTTAAAGCGATAAACTAGGTTAGTGGATAATTTGGCAGCAAAAGTTTTTCTAGAAAAATCAGTGCACAATCATTTTAGAAATCCAAATATTTAGTGGAAAAAAAATATTTTTTTAATAGAAATTTGGAAGAAAAATTGATGCGTAGTGTATTATATCTGTGCAACAATTATTGAGCCTTTCTTTTAACCGTTTTAAATTTCAGTTACTGTGCACGTTAAAAACAATTTATAGTCTTTTCTACGCCCGTGTTTTGTTCTCACAGACACCCGGTAGCAAGTAACAAAACAACACTAAACTCCGGGAAGAAGATAAAATCCTTTTTGCAAAATCATAGACATGTCAAGTATAATGGGAAAACAGAATGATCTTGGAGAGAGCTCTACCGAACTGAGTGTCGTAACCGAACGCAACCAGGGTTTTGGTTGAACGAATAACTGACAGCCACAGCGGAGAAAAGAGTTTGTGTGAACTTTAATGTAAGGACTTAAATATTCATATGTAGCTCACATTA